CGTCGGTGGCGAGTGGCAGCGGCGAAACCGACCAACCGGGAAAAAACACATTCGAGGAGGAGGAGGAGGAACAGGAAAAGGGGACGAGGAGCACGAGAAGGATAATGTCGAGGAGGGAATCGGGTGTTCATGTTTGTTCTCAGTTGGCCTCAACCTCACATCCCCTCTTACGTTCCATTTGTTCGTCCGGTCCTCACGCGTGAAACATCGGACCCTGGCCTTTACCATGGTCGATATATTTGCACACAGTTGAAGGGCGGAGGAAGCAGATGCAGCAGCGGGGGAGAAGGGAGAGACGGATAATCAGAAGCAGCAGCGGCAGCAGAACTCCTTGTGTCTTTTGGACGTCGACAGAGTCCACATATCAACGGGCTACCAGATTCAGATGCTACCGCGTTTCGGATGTCAAGTTGCACTGCAGGTGTTAACTCGCAGATGTCAGACGTCAGGGGACGTCAGCGCTCAGCAGTTTTAGTTTTCTCGGGCTTCAGTTTAGTTGCGCTTCGAATATAAAGTGCAACTTCAGGTGGTCTATCATATTTAATGTTAAAGTTCAGATGTCAGTTGAGGTGGGTTGCGTTTGAAACATGTCCAGATTAATTTGCAGATGCCAAATTGCAGTGCAGATGTGGAATCCCAGAGTTCACACGCCAGTAGAATTCAAAGGTGCACATTTTATGTTTCAGATGTCAGGAGTGTCCAGATAGTAAAGGGCTTCGCCACTGGGTTTGAATTCATATGCTACATGTGATTTCAGGTGTTACACAATGTCAGATATGCTTATGCATGTGTCAGTTAAGTCTAAGTGTACGCCAGATGGAAGATTGAAACCGGGATGATGTATGTGTCTCGTTGTTGCATTTGCATTCAGATGTCAATTTTATGGTGTCAGTTGAGACGGCCTTCGCTTCAAATGTGCAGAATTCACCTAGGATAGAACATTGCACTTCGTTTGTGTAGTTTCCAAATTTCAGGTGTCTGCGGAGTTCAAGTGTTCAAATGCTATTGCTCTGGCGTAAAAGGGGTTCACCGTTTAACGGGTTTTTGAGTTTCACGCGCTAACGGATGTGAGATGTTAGTTTGCTTCGTTTGCGAATTTGCACATCTCCGATGCTGAAGAATTTCAGATGGCCAGTTCTTTTGAGGCGTCATGTGAGCGAAGTCCGTTTGAGGCGTCAATTCTTTTGAAGCTTCAGTTGAGTTCCAGTCCAGATAACACATGCCGCCGGATTGCTTAAATTTCGTTTGAGGCATCAAAGCTCGGTTCCCAGTGGAGAGTGACTTCATTTCAAATGCGCAATTTCACTTCGGATGACGAACTTCATTGCTGATGTTCAGTGTCCGAATGGGGGTGTTAACACAATTCAAAACGCTATGTTGTGTATATTCTCAGATCTCAACAGAGTGCAGATATAGCAGACGTTTAACGTCATATGCGAATGTGAGAACGCACTTCAGACGTTAACTCGCAAATTCAGATGTTGACGAATTTCAGATGCGTTCGCTTGTCCGCATGCTTCAGTCAAGGTTCGTGTCACTTCTGATGTTACACAGCCGTGCTGAGTGAGAACAGCGTTTTGGTATGGGGCGCAAAGGTGTCACGGCAGAGATCAGAGTCCATGTCACGAATCACTTGTCTTGCCTTGTGCTTAGATATGGCTTACAGCTTCTATGCGGTGCTCGGCCTCAAGGTTGGCCTAATATTTCGTCAAGACATGTTCTGGAAGTTGGCCCAGTGTCTTTAATGATGAATGTCGTAATCATACGTTCGATCGTAGGAACAGAGCGGAGAAGGAGCAGGAGGCGGATGGGGTGTCGGGGGAAGGACGAGGAGAAGGACGATGGAGGAGGGGGTGTCAGGAGGAGGAGGAGGAGGAGGAGGAGGTGGAGGAGGAGGCGGAGGGGGTGTCGGGAGGAGGAGGAGGAGAAGGAGGAGGAGGAGGAGGAAGGTGAGATAGAGGAGGAGGAGGAGAATGACGACAGAAGCGGAGGCGGAAGGGAAGGGAAGGGAAAGGAGCGACGGGAAGGGAAGGGAAGGGAAGGGATTGAGGGCGGAGGAAAGTGAGAAGGGGTAGAAAGGGATGCAAGAAGAGGCGGAGGCGACGGCGGCGGATGCCTACGGAGGGGGAAGGACAAAAGGGAGGGGAGGTAATGTGTTCGGCGGCGCACACGCCCTACAGAGTTGGGGAAATTAGGAACTGACAGCATCTAGCAGGTGCGGGCATACAACTACGACCGACCCGTTCCACCTTTGTTTCCCCCGGTGTGTGGCCCCCATTCCCACGTGGGGCCCAAAGCTGGCCTTTCTCAAGAGGGACCTATACCCTCACACGAAGGGCCCGCCCAATGCGGTTCAAGATGCAAGCCTGATTGACTCACTCGGTTCGGTGTTCGACTTGCGTTGTCGCACAGTATTAACGTGTTAGCGCTATCAAGTTCGCCACCTGCTTCCTCACAAGCCTCGTCGTCCTCTTCCTCACTCATGCAGCCTGCCTCTTCAGTATTCCCCATCTTTTTCTCCTCCCCAGTGCCTCCTCTTCCCCCTCCTGAAACTGTTGTAAAGCTTACTGGGGCTTCGGAAAAGTCGCAGGGAACATGTGAAACATCCCACACAAGAAGCAGCAGCATAACAAGAAACAACAAAGACACAAGCAGAACAAGGAAACGCATGGGGGATCAGCAACGGCGAATCTTCAAAATATCCGGCAGGTTCCTCCCACCCTCCTTTCTTCACTCCTTTCCTCCTCCTCCTCCCGCTCAAGCACGAGGGGACCGAGCCCCGTAGTACCATCTGTTGGCTATATTGTGTTCGAAGCTCCCGCCCAGTGCCTCCACGTGGCGCTTGAGGGGCACGCCTCACGACTGGAGTTCAGCGGTTTTCGTCGGCTTCTATCAGGTAGGCGTTGGCAAGATCTGGGCAAATCAGTTCGTTCTCGTGGAAGACCTGCTCTTCAAGATCGGCATCCGGACAGTGCGGGATGAGCCCGGAGTGGCTAGCATTCCCCGCCGTGCCTGCCGTGCGGGACGAGCCCTGGTGTGGCTAGCATTCCCCGCTGTGGTGTGCAGTGGTGGCCCACGTCAGTGTGTAAATCGTGAAGTTGTGGCGGCGAGGTCAATTATCCCGCTTCACTGTCTATTTCTCAGGCGTCTACTGTATGGGCTCAGCTGCTATTGACTGCCGCGGTATCCACCGACTGGATTGTCTGCAGTTGGTGGCTTCCCTCGTGCACTCAAGTTCGCCATGGTTTTGATCCTCAGTCTCTGTCTGCGGGGCGAGCCCTGGCGTGGCTAGCATTCCCCGCCGTGGTTGCAGCGGTGGTCTATGTGAGTTTGTAAATCGTAGAGTTTGGGCGGTGATGTAAACCCTTTTGCTTCACCTTCATCTCTCAGTCGTTTGCTGCGTGGGCCCTGCTGGTATGGTGCGCCTCGGTATCCACACTCAGGCTGTCTGCAGTTGGTGGCTTCCTCGTGCATGTCACGGTCTCTGCATGCTTGTAAACCGTTGAGTTTCAGCGGCGAATCACTTTCTGCTTCACCGTCTTTCTCTGGCGTCTTCCGCAGTGGCTCAGCAGCTCTAGCCGCTTCTGTATCCACGAACGGATTGTATTGCATCATTCAAATTTAAGTTATAAATGCTCGGGGCGCGCTGAGGGCTTCTCCTCGGGGTACGGTTGTGCATCGATTTCGCTACCGAGGCTGGTGGTGGTCTTGGCGATCTCTTCGGGGGGTACTTCGATGACCGCGCCACTGTGCGCGACAAGAGCCGTATTGAGTCGGCATCATGCCTGCTTGGAAGGTGGAGAAAAAAAGGCATGTATTCCGTATTTCTTGGTAGGGAGTCCATTTTGCAGCAGGCTCCAATTCACTAAAGCAGTTTCATGTTCTGGAGTATGGAGTTGTGGGCACGTCCGTCGCTTGCTCTGTTGGAGGGAATCTTCTCCTCGGCATCATACGACGGGAAGTGTGCGTCGGCGACTTCACCTCGTGAGTGGGGCGCTCCAGACGGGTTTCACGAGTCCTGCGCCCAATTGCAGGTGACTGAACTCAGCCTTCATATCCTTACGGGATGGCGGAAATCCAGGTTCTAAATGTTTGGCAGACCGCCCGCTGCGAGATCGAAATGCGAGTTCGACGTCTAAGGTGGTATGGACTGGAGCAGACACCCCGAAGAAAAGGCCCACGTCCTTTGTTCTCTGTTCGGCACGGTCGAGTTCGAGCGAGGGATTGAGGGCCACGTGTAATGGCCGACCGTTTACCCGAGGCTGTCGAAGTACGCTTTTCCTTGGGCCAAACGTGTTCAGGACGATTTCCGCGCAGCGGCTACTCAGATGAAATATGATGCGTCTGTGCTTCTTGCTGACAACCCAATGTCAGTTCTTGGAGCCACAGGTGGCGAAAGCACTCCGACGACTTGATTATACTGAGCTGCGCACGCGCGAGCTCCGCGTGGCCGCGCCACCGCCCGAGTACGCACCAGTGGAGCCGGATGTCGCTGAAGAGGTGGCACCTCTACCGCGGCAGTTCGAATGGCCCGACGGAGAAAAGACATGCTCAGCCGCATTTCGTACCAAACGAGATCTTCTGGAACACGTTCGACATAGACACAACATTCGAAATCAAGTGCATTTAGCCTCGCCTACCAACGAATGTATCGACTGCCGTCATCTTTTCGCATCCAAGATCATCGCAGGCCGTCGTCGACCGCCATCAGTTATCGAGGGTGCATGCAGTACCAGGGGGGGTCCCACAAAATTTCATGACGTCCAAACGCCATCGAGTTGATCGTGCCCCGTATGCGAGCATGTGGGGTCCGACCTCCGCGATCTACGCAGCCATCTTGCCCAGCTCCCTCCTGCGCGTCTTGCCCCATCGGCCCTCCCTGATCATGAGCGCGGCAGATGTAGAGATGCCAGGCTGGATGAGGCAGTTGCACGAGCACCCACCTTCGGCGGGGCTACCCGCATCGGAGGAGGCGCACATGGGAGGCTCAAGGCCCGAGGATGAAACAACAACTGTTCTACGTGCTGACACGCCTGGTGCTTGCCGACAGTCGCGCTATCGCAGAGGTTCCCGGCACAGTCCTCACCACCTTCGAGGCGGCAGACATCGCAGACGGCATGCCGGCGGCCCTGCGCGAAGCAGGCGAGGAGTACGGCGCGCAGAGCAAAGGAGTGGAAGGAGAAGCAGCCCCGGGGCCCGGGCATCGACTCGGGCCCGAGGGGGGCCGCCGCACGTGCAGATTTTTCTCGCCGCGGGCGCCGTCTGGTCCGCGAACACGTTGGAAGGGGGGAGCTGCAGAAGGGTCGGCGCGAGTTCTGGGAGAATGCCGTGATGAGGCCTACCCTTTTGTGGAGGACGATCAATGGAGAGGAAGCGCGTTGCCAAATGATTTCCAGATGTCTAGAGAATGTATGAAAACTGTTTCAAACATGGAAAACAATGTTCTAAGCATGGTCAGGACACTGTTGCCGACATGTTAAACACATTCTTAATTCGATGATCGGACTGTTAAGGTGTCCATTGTCGTGGCAGCCACAAGTTTAACCCCCCCAGCAGCTGCCCGAACTGGTCCTCAACTTCCGCTGGCGTTCGAACAAATGCAAGAGGGAGAACGCCGACGAGGCCGAGGGGAGGACCGTGTGGGCCCTGGACCAGCACCACGAGCACGCGATCAGCCTGCGTTTGCTGATCATGAAGACGGTGGCCGTGTTCAACGGAGTGCGCAAGACAGGAACAGCTCCCCGTGGCCCGCTGGAGAGAAAGGCTTCCCGCACTATCGAGGCGCAGGGCAAAGGGAAGTTGCTCCGAGGGACGGAGATGTTGTGAGAGGGAGTGGCGCCCGTGAGTTTTTTTTCGAGTTAATTTGTTATGTTCCTTCGGGCCTTGGTTTCTCCTAGGACCCAAGAGCTTCCAGGGACAGTACGGAACAAAGTTGTTCGGCCCCACCTTTGATAAGTACGAGCGTTGTGCCGACGCGCCTCAGTGTAGCAGCATCAGTAAATATAGCCAGCAGTATTCGGAGCACGCAATCTATCAGGCGATGCATCCGGCTGACTATTGTGATCTTTGGGAACTTACAAGGGGCGCCGAGTTGCAGCCCAGGTGTGCGGTGTGGCGTGGTGTTCCACTGTCGCGACGCTGGTACAGAATTTGTTTCTGCGACGCTGTCGTCGCCACCCCCCCCTCTTCTCCGATTCTCGCAAGTTGCTTCCCCACGGGAATCAGCACTGGTGCCCGCAGTCCTGCCCCCCCTCCTCCAGGCGAAAGTCTCTGTCGATTCTGGCGTTTTTTGGGGGATTGGCGGATATTGTCGTATGCGTTTTCGATTGGTGTACACTTTTCTGGTGTGTTTTCCCTGCAACATTGGGCCAACATACATACACCAATCCGCCGGGGCAGGTTTCGCGCTTTATTGGTGGATATTTTGAGGGCGGTTTTCCGGCCCGCGCTGTCATTGCCCGCCCGTCTTTTCAGAGCCGCTTCACGCGGGGTGCCGTGCTCCGTTGCTTTTCCCAACGTCTGTGTTGGATCCTTTGCGCAGTGCAGCGCGTTACACCTCCGTTTTAGCTCGCCCTGCCGTAGACAATTTGCCCGCGCTGGCACCCTGAAAGCTGCAGATCCGCATGAATGTGGTGTGTGCTTTCTTGCATTGCTCCAGCAAAACGCCTTACCGATATACTTCACCTTCCCAAGTATTACAGCAGCAGCAGTAGCACCCAGCCTGCGGCCTAGCGAATGCATGACGGCAGCAGAAGCAGCACCCAGCCTGCAGCCTAGCGAACCTGATCGTGGACGGGGGAACGGGAGCGCGGCTGGTCGGGAGGAAGAGAGTTGGATAAGAGCGAGGCCTCCGATGAGAGGCCATAGCTCGAGCGCGTGGGCCAGTGCCAGGTATCAAGAGCTTTTGAGGAGCGGGGGGCTCCCACGGGCACGTTTCCCTGGGGCAGAGGCCCTTGCTGTCCCCACCGTCATCCTCCCCCCTCGTCCTCCGAAGGGGGGGTGGGCGGGGTGCGCACCTCGGTCCCCTGAGGGCGCCCTCCAGGGATGCGTGCCCGTAGTGAGTGTTGGCCTTAGAGGGGCAGTGCGCCCTTTGGGCGAGAGCACAGGGCTCACGTCCAGAGGCTGACTGGCATTCATGCGAAATGCCCCCAGGGTTGGCAAAGTTTGTAAGGTCGAACCGAGGCTGCTCTGCACCAGGACTCTATGGGTCATTGCTTGCTTGTTTGCTCCTCCTGCTGCTCCTCCTGCTCCTACTTCTATTCTGCGAAGCAAGATGGACCGCTCCTGACGCCCCGGCAGGCTGTGAACAGCGCACAGGCCAAATTGCCCAACCTATACTCTTTGTTTCCTCCTCCGCCTAATGCTGCTCGGCCCTACTGGTGGCTGAAGCCAGCAGCTCGGCGTTGACTATGGTGAGACATCGAGCCCCTTCGTGGTACTTGCACTCCTGCTTCTATTCGGCCTCCTTTCCTCCACTGTCCGTCCCCCCTGCCTCCTCGCTTCTCCCTCCCCCCCCTTCCCCTGCCCCCGCCGTGCAGCCCGCAGGCGGCTACGCGGTTTGCGCGTTCTGGCTTCTCATGGTGGTGGGCGTCGTGTCGTCCGACCTGAGCACGCAGTCCTGGGCGGCGGCCCTTGGCGCCCCGCTGGCACCCCTCGGCAGGAGGAGGAGGAGGAGGAGGACGAGGAGGAGGAGGAGGAGGAGGAGGAGGGCGAGGAGGAGGAGGAGGAGGAGGAGGACGAGGAGGAGGAGGAGGAGGAGGAGGAGGGCGAGGAAGGGAACGAGGAGGAGGAGGACGAAGAGGAGGAGAGGGGCGAGGGAACTGACGCTGCAGGCGTGCACGCCCCACGGCCTGCCTGGAACAATGGCCGGGGAGGAGGAGCAGCCCCTTGGACCGTCTGGAGGCCAGCGCGGACGCGTTCGATCGATCTTTCGGCGGCCCGTGGCCCGCTTGGACCGTCCACCAGAGAGCCAAGTGGTGCCCTCTTTCTGCACGAACGACATGGGTACGGAAAGAAGGGGCACAATGCCCAACAGCAGTTCCTGTTCCTTTTGAACGGGACTCGCTGTCCGCGCCGCCGCGGCCTGTGTCCATTTGAGACAGAAGGCCGCCTGCCAAACAGCGGCCGCTGTTGGTTTGGGACAACATGTGTTGTTGGGCATCGTACCCATTTTTCCGTACCCATTTCGGGCGTCCAGATTCTTGGCCTGTTTGGGGGCCCTCTGTCCCCCCGTGGCGCGTTCGCCCGGCCCCCGGGGGAGCCCCCCACCCCCCTCTTCAAATCGACCGGGCTGGGCTCCTTGGGGAAGGGTTTGGGGAAGGGGGAATTTCTCACACGCCGATGAACACCAAGGGGCCGGCTGATACGGATGCGCCATTTGGAACTGATTTGAGAGCCGCGATGCTTCGATGTGCAGACAAAGCCGCCATGTTCCACTACTACGACGAACGATTGGAAGAAATGCTCATCGTGTTCCATGTCCTTCCTCCTCCTCCTCCCCCTCCTCCTCATCATCGTTTTCATAATGATCCTTCCCGTATCTCCTCCTCATCTTCCTCCTCTTCCTCCTACACTTCAACATCCCCGACATCCGTCGATACGATTTGTTCCATCCGCGGCCACAGAAGTCCCGACCGTTTCCTGGGGGGTAGCGTTTCGACCCCGACCCGTGTTTGGGCCCGAAAAAAAGCTCCCCGAGGGCCGAAAGCTGGGAACAAAGACCGCCGAGACCGAGCAACAACGCATCGTCGGCGATCTGGGACCGCTCGCCACGCCCCCCCTTCATGGCTTACCTGAGACTCCTTCAAGCTGCCAAACTGGCCAGCAGGAGCAGGGGGAGGGAGAGGAGGAGAAGAGGAGGAGGAAGAGAAGGAGGAGGAGGAGGAGGAGGAGGAGGAGGAGGGGGAGGAGGAGCCACCCACTACTATGTCACCGAATTGAGGACAACACGACCCACCCCCACGCCCAGTCAGGACCCCCACTGCCGACCCAGTGATCCAGGGGGTCATGGCTGGAGGTGAGAATAGTTTTTTCTGCCTCCCAAAACCCTCTCCACCAAAATTCTGTTTTCAAGCAAAAACAACTGGCAGCCCTCCCCCGAACCACCAAGTCGGGAGCGGGGTTCCTGATCGGAGTGGGTTCCCTGAGATCAGACCCGACTTTGCGGAAAATTGCAACATTGCGAACAAACTATTTGAGCCCTGGGTCCCCGTCTTTCGATTGTTTTATGAGCCGGACCTGTCGGTGAGGGTCCTTGGGCCCGAACTTGTGCGAAAACGCTCGTTGCGAGAAGGATTGCAGCGCCAGCATCTGAGGGTGGGGGTGGGGCACGCCGTCCTCACAGCTGCCAGCTGCGGGAACTCCTCCGCTCGCTTCCACGACGCGGTCGAGGGCCGCCGAGCGCCGAAAGTCGGGGGCGGCCAAGAGGGGGGTGATGACTAGGGGGGGGGATATCATGGCGTGGGCCATGATATTTCCTCTGATGTCATGGCCCCTTCTCTTCTTTCGTCACGTCCCTGGTCCCCCCCTGGGCCGCGCACATGCCGCCGGCCATGTTCTGCGCCCCCCGCCCCCTCTTGGACGCCCCCCCTCTTGGCCGCCCCCGAGAAAGGTGGCCCCCGGCCCTCGGCAGCGGGCGGATCCATGCTGGATGGCCCCGAGAGGGCCCGAAAGCGGCCCCCGAGGGCCGAAATCTGGGAGAGAAGCCGGCGGGCTTCGTCGGCGATCGGGGTCCGCTCGCCTCGCCGCCCTGCCCTCGGCCCCCTCCCCCCGTGCTGCAGTGTTGAGTCGGACATGTCCCTCCACAGGAGGAGTCGTCAAAAATAGTAAAAACAAAAAAGAGTCTGGCGACGACCATTTTCGAACATTCTTGCATATGCTTGATTATGTTTTAGCTTTCGTCCAAGATCCGCCTGTAGGAGACATACCCGACCTAACAGTAGCGGTCGGTTCGACTTGCAAGAGATGCAACCGTTGCAAAGTGGTTGCAACCCACTTGCAGTGAGCCTGCAGGTGGATCGAAAGTCCGCGGAACCAGCTGCTCCAATTCTGAGTGGGTCGCGGGCCCAACTGGGAGCAGCTAGGCGGGCTTGCATCCCCCTCGCAACTGCCTTGCAAGTGGGTTGCAATTCGCGTGGCATCGAAGTCGGGTTGGATAAGTTTCGCTCCGGCGGACACAGTCCAGGACAGACCCAGAATGGCAACGGCTGCGTGTACAGTCGCAGCTGACATACTCAAACTGGGCATCGACCCCGTCCTGACGGTCGCAACGCCGCTTCCTGTATCCTTCCAGGGCCCGAGGTGCTCCGTCGAGCTGCTCGCTCTCTCTCTCCACACTTTCTCTCCTCCTCCTCCTCCTCCTCCTCCTCCTCCCTCCTCCTCCTCCTCCTCCCCCTCCTCCTCCTCCTCCTCCTCCTCCTTCTCCTCCTCCTCCTCCTCCTCCTCCTCCTCGCTGCCACTGCTGCAGCTCACAGCGACCGCT